CAAAATTCGGACTAGCTAACCTCAATACGGACTGATCAGTTCTTTTACACGGCAAACCATGACCGGAGGCTCGAGAAAACGATCGCGACGACGTCGATACAAGCCAATTGTTTTTGGGTAAGGCTAAGGCGTGACGTCTATGTTCTACAGCTCGTTAGTGTCCCTCTGTCCCTCCTATTTCTCCTCAAAGTTATTATTTAAGTTATTGAGGAAAGATGGTATATGTCAATCCTTACTAAAGCGAAAATATATGGGTTTTTCAAATTTGGTATCTCAAGTAGTATACTGGAAGCTAGGGGACTTTTATTTATCGGCGAGTCTAATGGCAACGAACAAATATTACTTTTACTATGGATCCTTCTCGATTAAGGATGGCACAAAAATTATATATTCTGGGACGATAAGTGGCTAGTTAACGCTACACTCTAGGAACAATATCTAGCACTAGACAATATTATGTGTCATAAGGGTGATACTATCGCCACGGTTTTAGAATCATTCCCGCCAAATGTGATGTTTAGAAGAGATTTAATTGGATCCAGATTCCAATCATGGAACACACTGCTTTTAACGGTTAACCACGGTGCAGTTGTCACAAGGGTCCGACGTATTTCTTTGAAACATACATGGTAGTGGACAATTCTCAGTGGATTCCATGTATAGAGCTTTGATCTAGTCGGTTGTGTCAGTCGATAATAATAAGGTCTGAAAGATGAAGATACCTCTTAAGATTAAAATCTTCGCATGGTATCTTCGTCGCGAAGTCATTTTTACTAAAATAATCTTATTAAGAGGAATTGGCATGGAAGTAAGCAATGCGTTTTTTGTTAGCATGATGAGACAATAAAACATTTGTTCTTTCAATGTAAATTCGCTCGTTCTATATGGGCAGTCATCCAAATAGCTTTTGACTTGTATCCTTCTTGTAGTGTTGCTAACATATTTGGCAACTGCTTACATGGGAGCGATCACATGTTTGGAATTTTACTCAGGGTGGAAGCACTTGCCGTGATTTGGTCACTTTGGCTAAGAAGAAATATATGATAAGGTTTTTCATGGTAAACGTATTTCTCTTATGCAGGTTATGTACAGATGTATCAGAACGCTTTATTTATGGTCCTTCCTACAGCAAGTGGAGAATCAAGACCTATTTACGGACGTGTGTACACATTTGGAGGCTACATCGAGGAATATTTTTACCCAATATGGGGGCAGCATGATCTTAGAATTGGTCCACCTACGGATTAGCCATTATACGTACTCTACATGTTTTTTTGCATTTTGTTTTCTTTTTTTTTTTTTGCGTGAGGACTTCTGGTCATGTGTATCTTAGTTATGCAGAGGCCGGGTGTAATGTCGACGGACGTTTGAAGGGCTGGATTTGTCCATCACGGCGGTAGATGCTTCAATCTAGTAACGCGACCGTAAAAAAGACGTGACCGTAAAAAAAACAGTGAGAATACGGTAAATGCAGGAGGCACGTCCCCGGTGCTCACATGGGACGTATGTAGACACTACCCGCAAAATCATGACATCACCGCTTATGAAAACATTGCACGCACTTGCTACACCACTTGTCGGAGTAGTTGACGCGTCTTCTGCCGTATTATTTTATTCTTCTCCTGTGGTGAAACTTCGTCCTCCGTTGAAACATGTGCCGATCGATCGCATCGAGCCCCGGCGCCGCCCGCGATCCGGAACGAGTAAGCAGAGCGACCATGTGGTGTGTTATGGATCGACTTGGCGGGCGGGCCTGGGATCAGCAACGACTAGAAGTCTAGAACTACGAGCGGCCATGTTGCATGCACATGCAGACCCCTTTGGTGGTCGGTCAGCATACACCGTCCCATCGTCTCGTCGGGTGCAAGAGTAACGCCGGCTCGCTCGCTTTTTGCAGATTAAAAAACCAAAAGGGCACCAGTAGAAAGCACGAATAAACAAATACTTTCACCGTCCCAAAATTTTTGTCTTAAATTAATCTAGATAAGAATGTATCTAATAATAAAACGTGGCTTAATACTTTGTTTTTTTTAAAATGAGGGACTCCTCGGCCTCTGCATCAGAACGATGCATACGGCCACATATTCAAACAAATTTTTTGGGACGGAGAGAGTAGTACTCCCTCCGTCCGGGTTTATTGGGCCTCTTAGCAAGTTTGCTCTGATCTGTTTTTGTAAGGCCCCGCTAAATATGTGTGTTTACTTTTCTCGATCAGCTCCGCCGAGCACGCACACGATTGGGCTACCGTTTCGGCTTCATCGTTGCATGCGGGAAAACAGCAAAGTACCAGCTGTGAGCAATAACTGCCTCGCGCTGTGGTTGGTTGCATGCGAAAGTAAAGCTGGGCAATTAGCTGCTGTGAGGCTTTGGAATAACTGCAGATTAATCTAATTAGCTGCTGCTACTTTCGTAAGTCACGGATGATTACCAGTAATATTCTTCCTTGGTCCTCGTGCCGTGGCTAACAGGCCCAATAAACCCGGACGGAGGGAGTACTAAACCGAGCAGCTTGCAGTTGACAAGCACGCGCCACTGCGTACGTGCACCGGCCGGAATTGTTTGCAGTTGTTCGGCCGACGAGCTGCCGCGCGAGCTGATTAAGCTTTTTTTTTTTTTTGAACAAAGCTTTGCTTGCTTGCTCCGGAGGGAAACGGGAGCCGTGTGCCACTGTTGGGAACAGCCAAGAAAACGCGTATGGCACCTGCGGCGCGGCGAATGCAAGTATGGAACAAAGCTGTCTACAGGAGTTATCCACTGACCCTAACCAGCGGTTCACTGGTTCTGCCTTTTTTTTTGTCATGTCCCGGACGGCCTGTTCGTTCCAACCAAGTGCCGCCGCAGGGACCCAGCTATGTAGCTCGTGTTGGCCCCACCGTCGGCTCGGCACCTAGCTGTCAGCGATGCCATACATACATACTCTGGATTGTAGCAAAAACCAGGCGTTGGTGATAGCTTTTCCCGTTGCCCGTTGCACAAAAAACCATGGGCCCGCCGCCGCCGGGCACGCTCGTCGTCGCCTGGCTGCCCGGGCGCTGGTGGTAACTTCTCCGTTGCCCGTTGCAGCAAAAATCTGTGGCGCAGTTGCCGCAGGCCACGCTCTTCGTTGCCTGGTCACAGCAAATTTGGGCACCGGTGATCGCTTTCCCGGTGCCCGTTGCAGCGCCAGCACCGGTGGCCACTACCTCTAGCCTCGCCGGTTGCAAAGCACTTAACCTCGCTGAGAGGGAGGACGAGGAGATGGATGGCCATGGCTTCCTTGGGTTGCATCAGCCCATGAGTACTCCTCGCATCAGCTGTGTGCACGGCGGGGGGTGGTCGACTGCCAGCCCCATCTTGACCCGATCTAGATGCAAAAAAGGGCAGCCCGTGGGAATAGAGGTGATTTCTCCGGCGACTTGATTTGGGCGCTCGCTACGGGCGCAAGTGCTGGAGGGTAGGGGATGAGTGGATGAGCAAAGCTGTACAGGATAAAAGCATCGAAGGGATCGAGAGGGTGGGGAGCGGTGATGGGCCAGGGAGGTTGCGATAGCGACATGGCCACGTGTGCTATCCGGCGTCGTTTGATCCAGTAGGATTGTGCAACTCGCACGTGACTAGCCGTAAACGTTTCCTAATTCTTCTTAGGCTGGTCACAATGGGGAGAAACTTAGGAGTAACATCACACACTCCAATACAACTTTGCTTATGTGGCACATATTTAATGAGGAGAGAGGTGCTTGTGGTAACTAGCTAAGTTACCGGAACATCACACACTCCAAGAAACAATAAGTCTATAACCTAATAAATACATCGTTGCATGACACTACATAGATATTCCTACCCACTATGAAGGTAGGAACATAGTCTAGGGAAGTGTGTAAGTTACTAGCTTATGTTCTTGCCCATTGTGACCAGCCTTATACAAACGAGATTAAATGCGTAGTTATTTCTAACAGACTTCCTAATATAACTACTTTTTCCAAAAAAAAATACTACCAAAACTAGGCAGTATTTTTTGTTTATCCACACATG